TTTAGCATAAAGTGCTGTTGAATTTTGTCAAAGGCCTTCTCTGCATCAATTGAGATAATCATGTGGTTTTTGTCTTTGGTTCTGTTTATGTGGCGAATTACATTTATAGACTTGCATATGTTGAACCAGCCTTGCATCCCCAGGATGAAGCCTATTTGATCATGGTGGATAAGCTTTTGGATGTGCTGTTGCAATCGGTTTGCCAGTATTTTATTGAAGATTTTTTTTATCTATGTTCATCATGGATATTGGCCTGAAGTTTTCTTTTCTTATTGAGTCTCTTCCAGGGTTTGGTATCAGAATGATGTTGGTCTGATAAAATGATTTGGGAAGGATTCCCTCTTTTCGCATTTTTAAAAATAGTTTCAGAAGGAATTGTACCAGCTCCTCTTTGTATGTCTGGTAGAATTTGGCCGTGAACCCAACTGGACCTGGGCTTTTTTTTTTGTTGTAGGCTTTTAATTGCTGACTCAACTTCAGACATTGTTATTGGTCTATTCAGGGTTTCGACTTTTTCTTGGTTTACACTTGGGAGGATGCAAATGTCTAGGAATTTATTCATTTCTTCCAGGTTTACTAGTTTATGTGCATAGAGTTGTTCCCTGATGATGGTTTGTATTACTGTGGAATCTGTGGTGATATCCCCTTTATCATTTTTTATTGCATCTATTTGATTATTCTCTCTTTTCTTTTTTATTAATCTGGCAAGTGGTCTATTTTGTTGTTCTTTTTGAAAAACCAGCTCCAGGATTTATTGATTTTTGAAGAGATTTTTGTATCTCTATCTCCTTCAGTTCTGCTCTGATCTTAGTTATTTCTTATCTTCTGCTATGTTTTGAGTTTTTTTGATCTTGTTCCTTTAGCTCTTTCAATTTTGATGGTAGGGTGTCAATTTTAGATCTTCCCTTGCTTCTCATGTCGGCATTTATTGCTGTATATTTTCCTCTAGACACTGCTTTAAATGTGTCCCAGAGATTCTGTATGTTATGTCTTTGATTTTGTTGGTTTTGAAGAACATCTTTATTTCTGCCTTCATTTCATTGTTTATCCAGTCAACATTCAAGAGCCAGTTGTTCAGTTTTTATGGAGCTGTGCGGTTCTGAGTTAGTTTCTGAATTCTGAGTTCTAACTTGATTGCACTGTGGTCTGAGAGACTGTTTGTTATGATTTCCGTTCTTTTGCATTTGCTGAGGAGTGATTTACTTTTAATTAAGTGGTCAGTTTTAGAGTAGGTGTCATGTGTTGCTGAGAAGAATATATATTCTGTGGATTTGGGTGGAGAATTCTGTAAATGTCTATTAGGTTTGCTTGGTTCAGGTCTGAGTTCAGGTCCTGGATATCCTTGTTAATTTTCTGTCTCATTGATCTGCCTAATGTTTACAGTGGGGTGTGAAAGTCTCCCACTATTATTGTGTGGGAGTCTAAGTTACTTCGTAAGTCATTAAGAACTTGTCTTATATATCTGGGTGCTCCTGTATTGAGTGCGTATATATTTAGGATTGTCAGCTCTTCTTGTTGCATCGATCCTTTTACCATTATGTAATGTCCTTTTTGGTCTTTTTTTTTTATCTTGGTTGGTTTAATGTGTATGTTATCAGAGACGAGAATAGCAAATTCTGCTTTTTTTTGCTCTCCATTTGCTTGGTAAATCTTTCTCTATCCCTTTATTTTGAGCCTTTTTGTATCCTTGCATGTGAGATGGGTTTCCTGGATACAACACACTGATGGGTTTTGGCTTTTTATGCAATTTGCCAGTCTATGTCTTTTGATTGGGACATTTCACCCATTTCCATTTAGGGTTAATATTGTTATGTGTGAATTTGATCCTGCCACTTTGATGCTAGCTGGCTGTTCTGCCCATTAGTTGATGCAGTTTCTTCATTGTGTTGATGCTCTTTAGCATTTGGTATGTTTTTGGTATGTAAAGCAGGCCTGTTGGTGATGAAATCTCTAAGTAATTGCTTGTTCATAAAGGATTCTGTTTCTCCTTCACTTATGATGCTTAGTTTGGCTGGCTATGAAATTCTGGGTTGAAAATTCTTTTCTTTAAGGATGTTGAATATTGGCCCCCACTCTCTTCTGGCTTGCAGGGTTTCTGCTGAGAGACCTGCTGTGAATCTGATGGGCTTTCCTTTGTGGATAACCTGACCTTTCTCCCTGGCTGCCTTTAGCATTTTTTCCTTTCTTTCAACCCTGGTGAATCTGATGATTATGTGTCTTGGGGTTGCTCTTCTTGAGGAATATCTTTGTGGTGTTCTCTGTATTTCCTGGACTTGAATATTGGCCTGCCTTGCTAGGTTGGGGAAGATTTTCTGGAAAATATTCTGAAGAGTATTTTTCAGCTTGGACTCATTCTTTCCATCACATTCAGGTACACCTATCAAACGTAGATTAGGTCTTTTCACGTAGTTCCATATTTCTTGGAGACTTTGTTCATTCCTTTTTACAGTGTCTTCTCTAATCTTACCTTCTCATTTTATTTCATTGAGTTGATCTTCGACCTATGATGTACTTTCTTCTGCTTGGTCAATTCAGCTTTTGAATCTCGTGTATGCTTCACAAATTTCTCGTGTCATGTTTTTCAGCTTCATCAATTCACTTGCGTTCCTCTTTAAGCTGTTTATTCTCGTTAGCATTTTGTCAAATCTTTTCTCAAGATTCTTAGTTTCTTTGCATTGGGTTAGAACATGTTTTTTTTAGCTCACAGAAGTTTCTTATTATCCATCTTCTGAAGCCTGATTCTTTCAATTCATCACACTCATTCTCCATTTAGCCTCGTTTTCTTACTGGTGAGAAGTTGTGATCTATTGTAGGAGGAGAGGTGTTCTGGTTTCGGGTGTTTTCATCCTTTTTGCCCTGGTTTCTTCCCATCTCTGTGGATTTATCCACCTGTCGTCTTTGTAGTTGTTGACTTTCAGATGGGGTCTCTGAGTGGATGTCCAGTTTGTTGATGATGAAGTTATTTCTTTCTGTTTCTTAGGTTTCCTTCTAATAGTCTGGCCCCTCTGCTATAGGACTGCTGAGGTCCACTCCAGGCCCTGCTTGCCTGGGGATCACCTGCAGTGGCTGCAGAACAGTAAGGGTTGCTGTCAGTTTCTTCTTCTGCTATCTTTGTCCCAGAAGGATACCTGCCAGATATCAGTCTGAGCTCTTTTTTATGAGGTGATTCTTTGGATATACAGGGGTCAGGGAGCTGCTTTTGGAGATAGTCTTTTTTTTTTTAAATTTTTTATTGCATTTTAGGTTTGGGGGTACATGTGCAGAACATGCAAGACAGTTGCATAGGTACACACATGGCAGTGTGTTTTGCTTTCTTTCTCCCCTTCACCCACATTTGGCATTTCTCCCCAGGCTATCCCTCCCCACCTCCCCCTCCCACTGGCCCTCCCCATTTCCCCCCAATAGACCCCAGTGTTTAGTACTCTTCTCTCTGTGTCCATGCATTCTCATTTTTCATCACCCACCAATGAGTGAGAATATGCGGTGTTTCGTTTTCTGTTCTTGTGTCAGTTTGCTGAGGATGATGTTCTCCAGATTCATCCATGTCCCTACAAATGACACAAACTCATCATTTCTGATTGCTGCATAATATTCCATGGTGTATATGTGCCACATTTTTCCAATCCAGTCTATCATCAATGGGCATTTGGGTTGATTCCAAGTCTTTGCTATTGTAAACAGTGCTGCAATGAACATTCGTGTACATGTGTCCTTATAGTAGAACGACTTATAGCCTTTTGGATATATACCCAGTAATGGGATTGCTGGGTCAAATGGAATTTGGAGATAGTCTTTTATAGGAGCTCAAGTGCTGGGGTGTGAGCTCCATTGTTTCATTCCGAGCACTGAGCAGGTATGCTTAAGTCTGCTACAGCAGAACTCATAAACATTTTTTTCCCCCAGGTGTTCTGTCCTGGGGAGTTAGGGCTTTATTTATAAGTTTCTGTCATGCTGTTGCCTTTTTTCAGGGCAGCCCTGCCCAGCGAGGATGGAGCCTAGTCATAGTCTGCCTGCAGAAGCTTTGCTGAGCTGCTGTGGGCTCCACCCAGTTGCTGTGTGAACTTCCTTGCAGTCCTGTTTATAGGGGTATAGTTAGAACTGCTTCAGCAATGGTCTCCCACCTCCATAATGGCAGACTCTCTGTAATGGCGGACTGCCTCAGCAATGGCAGGCTGCCTCGGTAGTGGTGGACTGCCTTGGTAATGGTGGACACCCCTCCCCCACAGAGCTGGACCATCCTGGGTTCAGCTGCGCTTGCTGTGAAACTCTCAACTTAGAGCATTTCAGATTTCTGTTTTTTTTGGGGGTGTGACCAGCTGAGTCTGATCACTTAGCTCCCTGTCTCAGACCTCCTTTTTGTTTTTCAGTTGAATGGGTGACTCTGTCTCCCAGTCATCCCAGTCACCAGTTGAAATGGTGACCGGATTTGTGTGATTTCTTGTGCATAGATGTGCTGTGCCAGCTGAAACAGCTGCTGGAGACTCGTGGCGCTTTTTTGCCGGGGAATCTCCTGGCCTGTCTCCCTGTTTTAGTCCCCCTTTTTTTTTAGTTGAATGGGAGACTCTATCTCCCAGGCATTCCATTTGCCTGTTGAAAAGGCTCTGGGATCTGTGTGATTTTCTGTGCGGCGTGTCGGGAATCTCTGGCCTGGCTCCCTGTTTCAGTCCCCTTTTTATCAGGTGAATGGGCAACTCTGTTTTCCAGCAGCTCCAATATCCAGCTAAAATAGCACCTGGACTTATGTATTTTGTGCGGAGACCTGCCGCACCAGCCAAAACAGCCACGCTGGTGACCCGTGGGGCTCCTTTACCTGGGAATCTCCTGGTCTGTGTGCAATAAATATCCATCTGGAAATGCGGCATCTACTCACCCTTCGTCCTTTCACTGGGAGTTACAATCCTGAGCTGCTCCTAATAAGCCATTTTGGATCCTCCTCAGAGTTAAAGTTTTTAAACATTACCCAAATTGGATCAGCAACACTTTTTATTTTTCCTCTTGAGACAGACTTGGTCTTGCTGTTGCCCAGGCTAATGTGAAGTGGCACAATCACAGATGACTACACCCTCAACCTTCTGGACTTGCTCTATGCTCCTGCCTCCTGAGGATCTGGGATTACAGGTGCACACCTCTACCCAGCTAATTTTTTAAAAATTGTTTTTGTAGAGATGAAGTCTCACTATGTTGCCCAGTCTGGTTTCAAACTTCCTGCCTCAAGTGATCCTCCCACCTCAGCCTTCCAAAGTGCTGGGATTACATGCATGACCTTATTTGGAGACTGGGTCATTACAGAGGTCATCAAGTTAAAATGGGTTATTAACGTGGGGCCCTGATCCCATATAACTGGTGTCCTTACTAAAAGGGAAATTTGTTGCCAGTAAAAGAAAAAGAAAGAATAAAGTATTTTTTTCTTGAGACAGGGTCTTGTTCTGTTACCCAGGCTGGAGTGTAATGATGTGATCACAGCTCACTGCAGCCTCAATCTCCTGGGTTCAAGTGATCCTTTCACCTCAGCCTCCTGGGTAGCTGTGACTACAGGTGTGTTCCACCATGCCCAGCTAATTTTCTGTATTTTATGTAGACATAGTATCTCACTATGTTCCACAGGCTGGTCTTGAACTTCTGGGCTCAAGCAATCCTGCCTCAGCCTCCCAAAGTGCTGGGATTTATAGGCATGAGTCACTGTGTCTGCCCAAAGGGAAATTTGCACACAGAGACAGACATGCTTAGAAGGACAATGGCTATTATAAGTCAAAGGCTGCCTGAGCCAGGAGAGAGGCTGGGATAGATTCTTCCCCAGAGCCTTTAGAGGGAGCCTGTTCTGCAGACACCTGACTTTACACTTCTGGCCTCCCAACTGCGAGACAACAATTTTTTATTTTATTTATTTATTTATTGAGACAGGGTCTCACTCTGTCCTTCAGGCTGGAGTGCAGTGGTGTGATCTCAGCTCACTGTAGCCTCATCCTCCCTGGCTCAAACAGTCGTCCCACCTCAGCTTCCTGAGTAGCTTGAGAGCACAGGCACATCAGCCATGCCTGACTTTTTTTTTTCTTTCTGAGGTGGATTCTTGCTCTGTCTCCCAGTCTGGAATGCAGTGTTATGATGCCAGCTCACTGCAACCTCCAGTTTGTGGGTTTGAGCAGTTCTGCCTCAGCCTCCTGAGTAGCTAGGATTACAGATGTGCACCACCACACCCAGCTAATTTTTATAGTTTTAGTAGAGATGGGCTTTCACCATGTTGGCCACGCTGGTCTCAAAGTCCTGACCTCATGATCTGCCTCCCGCAGCCTCCCAAAGTGCTAGGATTACCGGTGTGAGCTGGAACTCCCAGCCTTATATTTTTTTAGTCGAGACGGGGTTTCATTCTTTTGGCCTGGTTGGTCTTGAACTCCTGACCTCAAGTGATCCTCTCACTCACACTCCCAAAGTACAGGGATTACAGACATGAGCCATGGCATCTGGCCTGAGAACAAATTTTCTTGTTCTAAGCCACTTAGTTTGTGGCACTTTGTTACAGCATCCCCAACAAAGTTATACCCAAGGAATAATCCATTTCATTCTTAAAGGACACCGAAGCTCATGCCCTCGGTCATTCATGAATGTGTAATTGGGTTTTGGCCAGGAGCAGAGGCTCATGCCTGTAATTCCAGCACTTTGGAAGGCTGAGATGGGAGGATCACTTGAAGCCCAGAGTTTGAGGCCAGGCTAGCCAACATGGTGAGACCCCATTTCCACACACACAGAAATATTAGTTGGGCATGGTAGCATGCACTTGTAATTTCAGCTACTCAGGAGGCTGAGGTGGGAGGGTTGCTTGGGTCTGGGAGTAAGAGGCTTCAGTGAGCTATGATTGTATCACTGCACTGTAGCCTGGACAACACAGGAAGTCTTATCTATCTTTAAAAAAAAAAAAGGGCAGGGGTTTTTGTGTTTTTGTTGTTGTTGTTGTTGTTAGTATTGTTTTTTGAGCGTCTCACACTCTGCCCAGGCTGGAGTGCAGTGGTTCAATCTCAGCTCACTGCAATCTCCACCTTCTGTGTTCAAGTGATTCTCCCACCTCAGCCTCCCAAATAGCTGGGATTACAGGCATGTACCACCACAGCTGGCTCATTTTTATATTTTTAGTAGAGATGGGGTTTCACTATGTTGGCCAGGCTGGTCTAAAACTCCTGACCTCAGGAGATTCACCCGCCTTGTCCTCCCAAAGTGGTGGCATTACAGGTGTTGGTCACTGTACCTGGTAAATTTCATGTTTTGGCTGGGTTGGGTCTGGCAGGTATATGGTTAATAAACCAGGTCTAAATAATTTTAGGCTACTGGTGGTTTGGGCGCATACTGACAACAATGTTGTGGATGGTGATATTGGCTTTGAACATGGAAGAAAACAAGATCTGGTCTTCTTTTTTCACCCAGATGGTGTCAACGAGCTGACCTAGGCGATAACAGGACAGGTACATGAGACCCCATGTACATCCTAGGAAAGGGGATGCCAGCTGCTGGGACCCCAGCCCCCCTGACACCACCCAGCCCACCCGGCCTATAGCTCTTCCATGTTCCTTACAGCTTTTGAGAGGTTCGCTATTCAAAGGAGGACGAATCATGGAAAGTACAGGGCTCTAGGGCACAATTTTGTTAAACATGACAAGGAATATGCTTTGGTTCAAGAAAACTTATGGCCAGGCACGGTGGCTCATGCCTATAATCCCAGCACTTTAGGAGGCTGAGGTGGGAGGATCACCAGAGGTCAAGAGTTCGAGGCCATCATGGTGATGGCCTCAAACGTTTCACCTTTCAACATGGTGAAATTCCATCTCTACTAAAAATATAAAAATTAGCCAGGCGTGGTTGCACATGCCTGTAGTCCCAGCTATTTAAGAGGCTGAGGCCTGAGAATCCCAGGAGGTGGAGGTTGCAGTGAGCCGAGACCACACCATTGTACTCCAGCCTGGGTGACAGAGTGAGACTCTGTCTAAAAAATAAAAATAAAATGAGAAAACCCATCCTTTTGTTAGGCATGGGGGTGCATGCCTGTAATTCCAGCACTTTGGGAGGCTGAGATGGGTAGATCACTTGAGGTCAGGAGTTCAAGATCAGCCTGGCTAACATGGCAAAACTTTGTCTCTACTAAAAACACAAAAATGAACCAGGCATTGTTGCATGTGCCTGTAATCCCAGCTACTTGGGAGACGGAGTGAGGAGAATTTCTTGAACCCAGAAGGTGGAGGTTGCAGTGAGCTTAGATCACGCCACTGCACTTCAGACTGGGGGACAGAGCCAGACTCCATCTTAAAAGAAAAAAAAAAAAGACAACTTGACCCCCACTAGTTTTCTCTATAAGCAGGCTGAGAGGGATGACCGTGGAGTTTTTTGTCAGCTTGAACACAATGGAATGTCTTCTAATATAGGTGACTACTATAAGCAATAAAACAGGTCGTGTTTGGCGGCTCTCATCGGTAATCCCAGCAGTTTGGGAGGCTGAGACTGGAGGATCACTTGAGCCCAGATGTTTGAGACCAGCCCGGGCAATAGGGTGAAAGCTCATCTCTACAAAAAATAGTTAGTCTTGCATGGTGGTGCACCTGTGTTCCCAGCTACTAGGAGGCTGAAGCAGGAGAACTGCTTGAGCTTGAAAGGTGGAGGCTGCAGTGAGCCAGAATTTCACCTGGATGCAGTGAACCTGGACGACAGAGTGAGACCTTGTCTTAAAAAAAAAAAAAATCCATTGTAAAGATAAAACAGGCTAAGTACAGTGGCTCACAGCTTTAATATCCAGACTTGGGAGGCTAAGGAAGGAGGACTGCTTGAAGCCAGGAGTTTGAGACCAGCGTGTGTAACATAGGGGGACCCAGTTTCTACAAAAAACACAAAGAAATTAGCCAGGCATAGTGGGACATTCTTGTAGCCAGCTACTCGGGAGGCTGAGGAGGGAGGATTGTTTGAATCCAGGGAAGATGGAGACTGCAGTGAGCCATGATGTCACCTCTGGACTCCAGCCTGTGTGCATTAGTACAGTCAGAACTCAGCGCAGCCTGCACCTCCACAGAGTGAGACCCCGTCTCAAAAAAAAAAAAAAAAGAAAAAGAAAAAAAAGAAAGAAAAAAGGCTGGGGGCTCATGCCTGTAATCCCAGCACTTTGGGAGGCTGAGAGGTGGGCGGATCACGAGGTCAAGAGTTCGAGACCATCCTCACCAACATGGTGAAACTCCATCGCTACTAAAATTCCAAAAAAATTAGGTAGGCATGGTGGCACCTGCCTGTAGTCCCAGCTACTCGGGAGGCTGAGGCAGGAGAATTGCTTGAACCCAGGAGGTGAAGATTGCAGTGAGCCGAGATTGTGCCAGTGCACTATAGCCTGGGATTAGGTGCATGCCACCAGGCCTGGCTAATTTTTGTATTTTAGTAGAGATGGGGTTTCGTCATGTTAGCCAGGCTGGTCTCCAACTCCTGACCTCAGGTGATCAGCCCACCTCGGCCTCCCAAAGTGCTGGGGTTGCAGGTGTGGGCCACCGTGCCCAGCCTGGTTTTTTTTAAGTATTTTAATATAAAACCAATAAAAATTCTTGTGCAGCTCATGGGATGTATAAAAACAGGTGGTGGGATCTCTGTGTCTCCCATGTAGATACTATATGCCATGGTTTCCAGAGCCCTGGTTAGATGTTTGTTTGTTTGAGACAGAATCTCTCTCTGTTGGCCAGGCTGATGGAGTGGCATGATCTCAGCTCACTGCAACCTCAGCCTCCCAGGATCAAGCAATTCTCGTGCCTCAGCCTCCCTGGTAGCTGGGATTACAGGCACTACCACACCCAGCTAATTGTATTTTTAGTAGAGATGGTGTTTCACTACATTGGCCAGGTACACTCAAGCTCCTGGCCTCAAGTGATGTGCCTATTTTGGCTTCCCAGAAAGCTGGGATTACAGGCATGAGTCCTGGCTAGGTACATTTAAGGTATAATGGCAGATGGAGGCTGAGGTGGGAGGATCACTTGAGGCCAGGAGATCAAGGCTAGCCTGGGCAACATACCAACCAGAGAGATCCTATCTCTACAAAAAATCTTTTTTTTTTTAGTTAACTGGGCATGTTGGTAGTGCATACCTATATTACTAACTACTTGGAAGGCTGAGGCAGGAGGATTGCTTGAGCCCAGTAGTTCAAGGTTACAGTGAGCTGTGATCACACCACTGAATTCCAGCTCAGAGACAGAGCAAAACCTTCTTTCTAAAAATTGTAAAAAAATGTTTTGTTTTTTTTTTGAGACAGAGTCTTGCTACATCACCCAGGCTGGAGTGCAGTGATACAATCTCAGTTCACTGCAATCTCTGCCTCCTAAGTTCAAACAGTTCTCCAGCCTCAGCTGGGATTACAGGCATGCGCCATTGGGTCTGGCTCATTTTTGTATTTTTAGTAGACACTGGGTTTTACCATGTTGGCCAGGCTAGTCTCCAACTCCTGACCTCAAATGATCCATCCATTTCGGCCTCCGCAAGTGCTGATATTACAGGTGTGAGCCACTGTGCCTGGCCTTGTGAAAAATGTTAGTGGCATTTTGATTATAATTGAATACTTGGAAAAAAATCAAACTCGCATGCATATGATTGTTTTTGTCAGGACTAGGGTCCAGGACCTCTTCTAATGCCTTCACCTTGTATTCCAGGGCCTTGCAAACAATAGGTGCTTAGCAAGTGCAATAGAAGGCACTTCAGACAGTGCTTGATGTGCAGTGCATACATGTCATCATTAGGAAGAAAGACGGAGAGAGGAAGAATATGGGAAAATTCAGGGCAATTGATCAGGTCGATCCCATCATTGCTAAAAATCAGAGGAGACCAGGCCGTGCATGGTGGCTCATGCCTGTAATTTCAGCACTTTAGGAGGCTGAGGCAGGTGGATCACTTGAGGTCAGGAGTTCGAGACCAGCCTGGCCAACATGGCAAAACCTCATCTCTACTGAAAATACAAAAATTAGCCAGGTGTGGTGTGGCAGGGGCCTGTAATCCCAGCTACTAAGGAGGCTGAGGTAGGAGAATCGCTCGAACCTGGGAGGCGTAAATTGCACTTAGACGAGATTACACCACCGCACTCCAGCCTGAGGGACAGAGGAAGACTCCACAGCATAAAAAAGAAAAAAATTTTTCAGAGAAGACCAAGATATCCACAGATAATGCACCATGTCACATTCCTTGTGCACTTTTCCTGCCTTTTGGTAGACAGCTCCTAACATCACCATGAGATCCTGGTGAAGGAGGGGTGGATATTGGGGTTGCTACAGTTTAATGAACCATTTTTCCTCCAGAGAGAGATGCTCATCTTCTGTCAGAGTCCTTTAAGTGTTTCAACAACCCCTGCTGTGGACTTGTTTACCCTCAGGGCACTTCTCCATGGAGCCACCAGTTGGCGCCATTGCTGCATAAATGAAACAAACTGACCCAAGATTAGAAAATAGTGTTCTATTTTCTTTGAGCTGGATGGGGTGGGTCAAACCTGTAATCCCAGCACTTAGGGAGGCTGAGGTGGGTAGATCACTTGAGGCCAGGAGTTCGAGACCAGCCTGGCAACAAACCCTGCCTGTACTAAAAATACAAAAATTAGCCAGACATAGTGATGCACGCCTGTAATCCCAGCTACTTGGGAGGCTGAGACAGGAGAATTGGTTAGCCAGCAGAGGTTGCAATGAGCCAAGATCGTGACACTGCACTCCAGCCTGGGTAACAGAGCAAGACTCCATCTCAAAAAAAAAAGTATTCCTAAGGACTGAAATGGGAAACTGAGGCATGCAGACTGGAGTTGGGGTGGGGCTTGGCAAGAGAATGGGTTCAAGTAAGCTGTGAAGGACTCTCAGAAAGTCACAGCAACTTAAATATCATTTATTCTACTTCCCACTTTTACATTTTCCAGATATAGAAACCAAAGCTGAGAGGGGGAAGATAACTATCCCAAAAGCACCACATTGGTGGGGAGCAGGGTTATCAGAGAAAACATAGGACATCCAGTGAAGTGAGAGTTTCGGACTCTCAGTGTATGTCCCAAATAATGCACGAGACTTAGACTAAAACCTTATTCACTCTTTGTCTTCAACTGTAACTGGGCATCTATATGATGATTTGCTAAGTCTGACAACCCTCATGAGGGTAAAATGAAGATTAGGAAAATAATTAAATGTAATAAGCAAGCATGCAAAATGAGGACAACTCTGTTCTTATTTTGCAGACAAGGGAATTGCATGTTAGGGAGGTGACTTGCCCCAAGGCCACACTCACAAGTGTCAGAGTCAGGATTTGAACCCGGTCCTGATTCCAGTGGTCTCAACTTCACTCTTGTGGCCAGGAACACCCCCCAGTCCTACTCATGTGTGTGCATGTTCTGTCTTGAATATAACTGTCTCCCCATCATGTAAATGGGCCATTCCCCTCCCTGACATTGAAGGACCCCATCTTCAGCAGGCACCTCCTGACCCAGCAAACCACCATGGGCCCAGATCCCTGGGAACTGGTAGCTGCCCTTATCACATTCCCAACTCCCCATCTTAGGGCCCAAGTCTGACCCCCTTCAGGATCTGCAGGTGTGTTACAGGAATGGGGACGTGATCCAGACCCCAAAGGAGGGTTCTTGTTTTTTAGGAAAGCAAGTTTTTTAGGAAAGAATAGATTTGCTGTCCATACTATCCTTACTTTCCTTAAAACTTGCTTTTTTAGGAAAGAATAAACTTGCTCTGTGGTTCACACCTGTAATCCCAGCACTTTGGGAGGCTAAGGCAGGCAAACTTGCTTTTTTAGGAAAGAACAGATTTGCTGTCCATATTATCTATTAAGTAAAGATAGAATGGCTACTCCATAGAGCAGCCCAGAGGGCACTTGTGCCCATCTTTAGGGTTATTTCTTCATGACATGCTGAATGAGGGATAGGTGATTCATGATTCCCCTTTTTTAGATCATATAGGGCACTTTCTGATGTTGCTATGGCATTTGTAAACTGTCATGGCGCTGGTGGCAATGTAGCAGTGAGGATGACCAGAGGTCACTCTCCTGGCCATCTTGGTTTTGGTGGGTTTTAAACTGGCTTCTTTACTGCAGCCTGTTTTATTGGCAAGGTCTCTGTGATCTGTTTCCTGTGCTGACCTCCTATTTCATCCTGTGACTTACAATGCCTTCACTGCCTGGGAATGCAGCCCAGTAGGTCTCAGCCTCCTTTTACCAACTCCTATTCAAGATGGAGTTGCTGTGGTTCACACGCCTCTGGCAGCTGGGCTCCTGGGGATCTCCTGATATTCTGTTCCCTCTGTCCCCAGCTCCTGGACCCCTCCATCCTCACTTCCATCGCTGTTTTCCTGAGCCTTCTCCCTCTGAATTTCATCATCACCAAGAAGAGGAATTATCAACAGGTTCGGCTTTGGGGAAAGGGATAGACCAGGCAGGAAGTAGGGAGGAAGACACAAGCCCTGGTGTGGGTGATGGGGAGGGAAGAGCTGAGTGGGAGCCAGTGGGTCTGGCTCTGTTCTTGTCTCTGTGCGTTGCCCATTGTGCATACCTGCGCCACTCCTTCCCCATCGCAATGGATGGTGGCTCCTTCCTCCAGTGTTCAGGCCCTAGGCCCTGGGTCAGATCAATGTATTTTTCTCTTTAATCCCATCAGTCAGCAGATTTGCTTGGCGTCACCTTGAAAATGCATCCAGCAGCAAGGCCCTGGCTCACTCCCTACTTCTGCCCCCAGCCTCTTTCCATTCCCAGCCACAGGAGACCTGTGTAAGCAGAATCCATTGCACCTTCCTTTGCTCAGACCCACAGTGGCCCCATTTTCCTCGGTCTGAGCCATAGGCTCCACAGTGGCCCACCAGGCCCGTCCTGACCTGCCTCAATTCCTCCAGCCTCAACTTCCACCCATCTCCCTCCCTTCCCCACTGACCCCTTTTCCCCATCCTCACATCTGTCTGATGTTCACACATCTCTCCAAGCATCTGCTTTAGCTGTTCCTTCTGCCTGGACCACCCTCACTCTAGAAGACCGTTGTCACCTCCAGCACCCCCTGCAGTCAGGGCAGCCTCCCTCACCAATGTCTAGCAAGGATATGGCCTGCCCATTTCTCTCCTCTCAGCAGCTCTCTTCCTTGGCTTGTCCTGGGTTCATTTTTGCTTTTCCTCAGCACTTCGCTCTTCCTAAAGTTGTCCCAATGTCCATCTGTCACTTGGACTGTTTCTCCAGCCTCCTGCATGGAAGCGCCTGGCAGGGGCTGATGGCCTTACTCTCCTTAGACTGGAAGCTCCACAGCAGCACGGGCCACTCACTGTGGCAGACTCAGTATCTAGTTAGTGCTCAGCATCCAGAAGGTGCTGGATAAGTGTTTGAGAACTTAAGAAAGGAGGGAAGGGAGAAGGGAAGGAGAGAGCAAGGGAAGAAGGAAGGGAGGGGAGAAAGGAGGGAGGGAAGGAAAGATAGGAAAGGGGAGGACAGATGGAGTGAAGGATAGAGTTGAAAGAGGAAGAGAAGGAATGAGGGAGGGAATGAAGAAAGGGAGGAGAGAGAGAAGAAAGAAAGGGCAGGAGAGTGGAAGAAAGGAGTAGAGAAGAAAGAAAGGCGGGAGAGAGGGAGGGAGGGAAGGCAGATGGAGGGAGGGAACTTATTTCCTCTCTAGGCCCAGCTGTCCCAATGTCCATCTGTCACTTGGACTGTTTCTCCAGCCTCCTGCATGGCCTCCTCCGGGCACAGTGGCTCATGCCTGTAATCCCAGCACTTTGGGAGGTGGAGGCAGGTGGATCACCTGAGGTCAGTTCAAAACCAGCCTGGCCAACATGGCAAAATGCTATCTCTATTAAAAAGTATAAAGATTAGCTGAGCATGGTGGCAGGCGCCTATAATCCCAGCTACTCCAGAATCTCAGGTAGGAGAATCACTTGAACACGGGAGGCAGAGGTTACAGTGAGCCGAGATTGTGCCACTGCACTCCAGCCTGGTAACAGAGCAAGACTCCATCTCAAAAAAATAGCAAAAAACCTCCAGGTACCTGCTTTCTGATGATGTCCCCCTCCCCCGGTGAAGCACGGGAGACCCCAAACTCCTGCCTGACACTAAAGTGCCAAGTGACCCTGCCCACACTCTCTTCTGACCATACTGAGTGTCCTCTGAGTCATGCTGTTCCCTGTGCCTGGGTTTTTGCTGCCCCCTGTCTCAAAGCCTCCCCTTTCAATTCTTAGCTCCATCCCCCAATCCTCTGCCTGCCCAGTACCCACTTCCTGGTCATTTAACGTGTAGCTCAGGCTGTAATCCCAGCCCTTTAGGAGGCTGAGGGCAGAGGATCACTTGAGCCCAAGAGCTTGAGGCCAGCCCGGGCTACATATTGAGACCCTTCCCAACTCCACCAAAAATGTAAAAGGAAGAAAAAAAGATGTAGCTCAGGCATTACCCACCTCCAGGTAGCCTTCCTGATGGTGCCATACCCAGGTGGGCTCAGGGGCACCCTCTGTTCTCCAGACATCAGAAGCTGCCTCCCCAGGGCAATTGTCCCAGGTCAGCTCCTGTAGGAGCCCAGGCACAGGATAACGGTGGATGGATCAGGACTGAGGGTCAGAGATGTGGAGAGGTAGACAGCTTTGGGACGCAGTTGGTGAGATCAGTGGAATTTGCTGCAGGGTGGCTGTTAGGGTGCAGGGGAGAATTCTGGACCAGCCCTGTCTTCATCTCTCTCTTCCCTCCAATCCCAGGAGAGCAAATGAGGCAGAAGGACTCGTGGGCCCGGCTCACCAGCTCCATCCTCAGGAACTCGAGGACCATCAAGTTCCATGGCTGGGAGGGAGCCTTTCTGGACAGAGTCCTGGGCATCCGGGGCCAGGGGCTGAGTGCCTTGTGGACCTCCAGCCTCCTCTTCGTTGTGTTGCTGGTGTCCTTCCAAGCGTCTACATTTCTGTGATGTCACTCTAGTCTCTGTTCCGAGCTGGACTGGGGAAGGAATGTGGGGGTCAGGGGGTGAGGTAGGTGGAGCCTCCCAGATTCTACCACCCTGTCCATCAAAACCCACACATTCTGGATTCTGTTCTCTCGGAGTTCCTGTATTCTGCGTGAATGAATTAATCACATCATTCTGGTGAAGGTGGCAGTGGCTGATGAGGTCTGCTATTCTGAGAGTTCCAGGCTTCTACCGATGTGAGGAGGAGGGTTCAGGTGCAGGCAGGCTGCAGAGGTAGAATCTGGGGTCTGAGAGTCTTCCCTGCCGCTGGCCAGCAGATGTTCACAGCCACCATCATTGACGTGATGATCCTTGTCCTACCATTCTGTAATTTATTTCCGATGGCTGTCAGAACAATCTTCCTAAAGCACAGCTTTTGGAAGAATTTTAAAATGTTGATACATAGGCCTGGCACAGTGACTCATGCCTGCCATCCCAGCTTTTTGGGAGGCTGAGGTGGCTTGAACCCGGGTGGCAGCGATTGCAGTGAGCCGAGATTGTGCCACTTCACTCCAGCCTGGGCGACAGAGCAAGACTTCGTCTCAAAAACAAAACAAAAGGACCACAAATGGCACCAACACTCGGAGCCCTCCCATGCTGCTCTCTCCCCAGGAGTCCCCAGGCTCAGCCCTCATTTCTATCACCTTCACAGAGAGGCCTTTTCTGACCACCTTCTCCAGCATGACAGCACCTCTGCTCGTGCTAGTGCACTCTACACCTGCACCTGATTTCTCTTTAGTTATTTATTTTTTGAAGACAGTGTCTTGCTCTATTCCCCAGGCTGGAGTGTAGTGGTGCAATGTCGGCTCACTGCAACCTCCACCTCCTGAGTTCAAGCAATCCTCCCACCTCAGCTTCCTCAGTAGCTAGGATTTCAGGGAGGTGCCACCACGCCTGGCTCATTTTTTTTTTTTTGGTACTTTTAGTAGAGATGGCATTTCACCATGTTGGCCAGGCTGGTCTTGAACTCCTAACCTCAAGGGATCCATCCACCTCAGCCTCCTAAAGTGCTGGGATTACAGGTGTGAGCCACCACACCTGGTTGCACCTGCTTTAGTATTTATTCTTCATAGCGCTTTCCACCTGATGTGCTGTCTGTGTTAATGGTTTGTTTATGGATCACCTGTCTCTTTCCCCCTCATTAGAATGATGGATCCATTAAGAGAGCAGCAACTTTGTTTTACTCATTGCTGTTTCCCCAGAGCCTGGAACCCCACTGGATATATGATAACCAGGCAGTAGTTATTAGTGGAATGAATGAATGTAAGAAGGAACGAATGGCCAGGTGCTGTGGCTCATGCCTGTAATCCCAGCACTTTGGGAGGCTGGAGTGGGTGGATTGCTTGAGATCAGGAGTTTGAGACCTACCTGGACAACATGGTGAAACCCCATCCCTACTAAAAATACAAAAGTTAGCTGGGAATGGTGGCGCATACCTGTAATCTCAGCTACTTGGGAGGCTGAGGCAGGAGAATTTGCCTGCACCCAGGAGGTGGAGGTTGCAGTGAGTCAAGATCGTGCCACTGCACTCTAGCCTGGCAGAAAGAGACTGTCTCAGAAATAAAAAGAAATAATTAAAAGAGAATGAATGAAATACAAGAAGGCCTAGATAGAAGGAATAAGTTACAATAATCAATAGTGCACAAGGGAAATTACAGTGAATGAGAATTTATTTGAATATTTCAAGATAGCTAGAAGAGAAGGATTTTCATGTTCCCAAAACAAAAGATAAATATTTGAGGTGATGACTGTCTCAGTTACCCTGATTTGATCATTACCTATTGTCTACAGCTGGGGTCCCCTGGCCACGGATCAGTAGCAGTCTGTAGTCTGTCTTTGTTTTTGAGACATAGTCTCACTCTGTGCAGTGGTGCGATCTTGGGTCAATGTAACCTCCACCTCCAAGGTTCAAGCAATTCTCCTGCCTCAGCATGCTGAGTAGCTGGGATTACAGGCATGCACCACCACACCTGGCTAAATTTTGTATTTTTAGTAGAGACAGGGTTTCACCATGTTGGCCAGGCTGGTCCCGAACTCCTTACTTCAGGTGATTTGCCCTCCTCATTCTCTCAAAGTGCTGAGATTACAAGTGTGAGCCATTGTGCCCCGCCTTTTTTTTTTTTTTTTTTTTTTCTTTTTGACATGGAGTTTCACTCTTGTTGCCCAGGCTGAAATGCAATGGTATGATCTTGGCTCACTGCAACCTCCGTCTCTCGGATTCAAGTGACTTGCCTGCCTCAGACTCCCAAGTAGCTGGGATTACAGGTATGAGCCACCACGCCAGGCTAATTTTTGTATTTCTAGTAGAGATAGAGTGTCTCTGTGTTGGTCAGGTTGGTCTCGAACTCCCAACCTCAGGTGATCCACCCGCCTCAGTCTCCCAAAGTGCTGGGATTACAGGTGTGAGCCTCCACACCCAGCTCACTTGTTAGGAACTGGGCAGGCAGCACAGCAGGTGAGCAGCTGGCAGGCAAGGGAGGCTTCATCTATGTTCACAGCCACTCCTTATTACTGGCATCACCGCCTGAGCTCCACCTCCTGTCAGATCGGTGGCAGTGTTAAGAGTCTCATAGAAGCACAAACCCTAGTGTAAACAGCACATGCGGGGGAGCTGGGCTGCGTGCTCCTTATGAGAATCGAATGCCTGTTGATCTGTCACTGTCTCCTGTCACCCCCAGAAAGGACCATCTAGTTTCAGGAAAACAAGCTGAGGGATACACTGATTCTACATTATGGTGAGTTCTGTAAGTATTTCATTACATATTTCAATGTAATAATAATAGAAATAGGCCGGGCGCAGTGGCTCATGCCTGCCATCCCAGCACTTCGGGAGGCTGAGGCAGGCGGATCTCCTGAGGTTGGGAGTTCAAGACTAGCATGGCCAACATGGTGAAACCCTGTCTCTACTAAAAGTATAAAACTAGCCAGGCATGGTGGCAGGAACCTGTAATCCCAGCTACTTGGGAGGCCGAAGCAGGAGAATTGCTTGAACCCAGGAGCAGAGGTTGCAGTGAGCCAAGATTGCAGCATTTTGGGAGGCTGAAGTGGGCAGATGTCCTGAAATCAGCAGTTTGAGACCAGCCTGGTCCAGTGGTGAAACTTCGTATCTAATAAAAATACAAAAATTGGCTGGGTGTGGTGCGTATAATCCAAGCTACTTGGAAGGCTGAGGCAAAAGAGTTGCTTGAACCCAAGAGGAGGAGGCGGCAGTCATGTCCCTGCATTCCAGCCTGGGTGATAGAGCATGATTCTGTCTCAAAAAAAAAAAAAAAAAAGCAAACCAGTTACAATGCCTTATACCTATAATCCCAGAACTTTGAGAGGCCAAGATGGGACGATCACTTGAGGCTAGGATTTCCAGGTAAACTTGTTCAACATAGCAAGACCCCATCTCTACAAAACATTTTTTAAAAATTAGCCAGGCACAGTGGCATGTGCCTGAAGTCTCAGCTACTCAGGAGGCTAAGGCAAGAGGATTGTGGAGCCCAGGAGGTGGAGGCTGCAGTGAGCCATGCTTGTGCCACTGTACTCCAGTCTGAGTGACAGAGTGAGACCCTGTCTCTCAAAAAAAGAATTCAGAGTAGAGAAAGGTATGAATTATAAGTTCAAGCATGCCACGTCCTAAATTTCCTGCAGAAGTGTTGATGCACGCCCGAAGAAATCTACATTCATTTCCCAATGCTGCTTTAACAAAGTACCCTAAACTTTATGGCTTTAACCACAGACATTTATTCTTACAGTTCTGGAGGCCAGGAGTCTGAAATCAAGGGGTTTTTGGTTTTTTGTTTGTTTTTCCTGTGAAGGTTGTGAGGGAGGATCTGTCCCAGGTCTCGCTCCTGGATTCTCATAGCCTTCAGAGTTCCTTGGCCTGTAGAGTGGTCTTCTGTCTTGACATTGTCTTCCCTTTGTAGGTGTCTTTGTCCACACATCCCCTTTTTATAAAGACACCAGGCACATGGAATTAGGATTCACCCTCATTACCTCAGCTTACCTTGATCACATGTGAAGAGACTATTTCCAAATAAGGTCGCCTCCACAGACCCTGCGGCGTAGGGCTTCAGCGTCTTTCAGGGAGACACAGGACAACGCATAATGCTATAGATTTGCAAATATTTTTAGTTTTAGTTTCTGGGTTTTCTTTTTTCTTTTTTGCATCAGATGGGTGATGTGATGATATCGTAACAAGTTTTGAGGAAGGCATGTATCATACAATAGCATGAAAACCCAATCGTCATGCTTAGACTTTGGTTTTTTAATTTTAATTTTTCTTGAGGCAGGATCTTGCTCTGTTACTCAGGCTGGAGGGCAGTGGTGCAACCATGGCTCACTGCAGCCTTGACCTTGTGGGCTTCAGTGATCTTCACCTCAGCCTCCCAAAGTGCTAGGATTATAGGAGTGAGCCATCACCCCCAGCTATTCCCTACTTTTTATTTGTACCTTGCTCTTTTTACTCAAAAATATACCTTTGCAGCTGGGCATGCTGGTTCACGCCTGTAATCCTAAGCACTTTGGGAGGCCGAGGCAGGTGGATCACTTGAGGGCAGGAGTTCAAGGCCAGCCTGGCCAACATGGTGTAATGCCTTCTCTACTAAAAATACAAAAATGAGCTGGGCATGGTGGTATGTGCCTGTAATCCCAGTGACTTGGGAAGCTGAGGCAGGAGAACTACTGGAACCCTGGAGGCGGAGGTTGCAGTGAGCCAAGTTCATACTACTGTACTCCAGACTGGGTGGCAGAGCGAGACTTTGAATCAAAAAAAAAAAACAAAACATACATATATACACACACACACACACACACACACACGTAATACAAATACACACACACACACACACCCCTTGGCAATCTTTTTCTATATCGGCATTCACTGGTACAATTTAAATTCTATTGTAGATTTTATTTAGATTAATAAAATCTAAATACTAGTCTATAAGTTCTACAACTAAAAAAAATAGGCAATGTAAAATTAATAGGCAAAAAAATGATTCAAAGTTCAAAAGCTATGAAAGTGTATAGAACTGAGTCTCCCATATAGCAGCCAGTGGCATATGTATTTGTTGAAATCTAAGTGAGGCCGGGTGTGGTGGCTCATGCCTATAATTTCAGCACTTTGGGAGGCCGAGTCAGGTGGCTTACCTGAGGTCAGGAGTCTGAGATCAGCCTGACCAACATAGTGAAATCTTGTCTCTTCTAAAAACACAAAAAGTAGCCAGATGTGGTGAGCTCCTGTAATCCCATCTACTTGGGAAGCTGAGGCAGGCTAACTTCTTGAACCTGGGAGACAGAGTGAGCCAAGATCATGCAACTTCACTCCAGCCTGGGCAACAGAGCGAGACTCCATCTCAAAAAAGAAAAAAAAATCTAAATGAATTAACATTAAAGATAATGAAAGATTTGGTTCTTTGGCTGCATGGGCCACATTTCAAATGCTCCACAGCTGCAGATGACCCTGAAACATGGTCCTCATTGCAAAAGGTTCTGTTAGTTGGTGCTGGTGCAGCATTAAAGCCTCTCTCCCATCCCTCCTGAAAGCCAATCACCATTAGGGTTTTTTTGGTGATTCCTTTCTGAGATGATGTATGCACACAATCAGCACATGGAGTTAATATATCCACTTAAAAAAAGCAACGTTTCCCATGTAGTGCGAATGACCATGTAATAGTCCATGAAATGGAATGTATTCAGCTAGTTTCATAATGAAGTGATCTTGAGTTTTTCCCAGGTTTCCTCTCTTAAAATTATTCTGTGGTGAACACCATTCTCTCTGCAGAGTAAATTCTTAACAGAATGAATTCCCTGGCCACAAGATTTATATGTTTTTCTCATTTCCTTTCCCTTTTCTTCCTTTTTTCTTTTCTTTCCCTTCTCTCCCTCCCTCTAGTTTCTCTTTTCCTCTTTCTACCTCTTTCCCTCCCTTTCCCACATCTTTTCCCCTTCTTCCCTGCTTTTTTCTCTCCCCTACTTTTCTCTTTCTTTTACAAGATCTTCTATGCAATGGCATGATCCTAGATCACTGCAGCCTCAAATCCCTGGACCCAAGAGATCCTCTTGCTTCAGCCTCCCAAGTAGCTGCGACTAAGGCCTGTGCCACCATGCCCTTCTATTTTTTTTCTTTTTTGTGGAGATGGGTCTTAAGGCTCATTTTCATCTTAGTAGGTGCTTTTCAAGAGTTCTTAACCAAGGGTACCTGGATGGAACTTAGTGAGTCACTTGAAGTCCTTGTCATTGTGTTGAAGTTTTGTATCTGTCTCCTCCGTCCTGGGGGGAAGATTTAAAACTTCTATCTCCTTTTCAAGCAGACTGGAGACTTCAAAAAGTATACAAATGTTTGGAGGCTGAGGTGGGAGGATCACATGAAGTCAGGAATTTGGGACCAGGCTGGCCAAGAAGGTGAAACCCTGTCTTTACTAAAAATACAAAACTTATCTTGGCGTGGTGGTGCATTCTTGTAGGCCCAGTTTCTGAGGAGGCTGAGGCAGGCGAATTGCTTGAATCTGGAAGGTGGAGGTTGCAGTGAGTTGAGATTGCACCACTGCACTCCAGCGAGGGTACAAATAGCAGCTTTTGAGTTGATCCCGTCAGGCATGACCACTGGGCACATTCAGCAGTGGATCACCCGATTCTGCCTCAGTTTCCAGTGTCTTCTCAGAGAGGCCTGGAGTGTCTGAAGCTGAGGCTGGATGTCTTGCTGCATAAATACTCTCTCCACTTCCACCTGTGCCATCAGCTTGGGTGGGGAGAAGACCCATGTCAGGGGAGAGCTGTCTTCCTCCTAAAGCCCCATCTGTCTGATGGCTGAGACTTCTGCCTCATTTCCAGAACTCCCAGAGGCCCTTGAATGTCTCATTATTTGCTAAATGTGCAAGCACAGATTGCCTGTGCCTCCCCTCAGACCTTCCTGCTACTCCCTATAGAGCTGTCTGAATCCTGGAAATGTTTATTTGCCTTTGGAGGAATTCTAGTTCCATCCGTCCCAGACTCATCACAATTACAGTAACAGCCAGCGCTCTGTAACTTTCTGGAGCCTGTTCCAGCAGACAGAAGGTCCCTTCTTCAAGTCCTCTTTGTAACCCCATACAACATGAGGAAACTGAGGCAGATGAGCTCATGAATATAAAGTGCCAGAGCTTGGGTTCAACTTGTCTCAGTTTTTTTTTTAAGTATTAAAATGGTCATTTTATTTATTTTTATTTATTTTAATGGATTGGAGGTTTCAGTGGGACGGGAGAATCACAAGGAATCAGCTGTTCAGAGGAATGTATTGAGTAGAGGTGAGGAACTAGGATGTTGAAAAGTAAAAGGAGAGAAGGAGAGGAAGAAAGAGGAAGAACAAGAGGGAGAGAGAACAGGAATATTGCTTCATTCTAAAAATGAGTATTAATAATGGCCGATCAGTATTTTGTGTATTTAAAATGGAGAACTCTATAAATATTTATTGAGTTTACTTGTTCCGGATCTGAGTTGAAGTCCTGGATATCCTTATTAATTTTCTGTCTCGTTGAGTCTAAATCTCGTTATGGGTCTTATGTATCTGGGTATTAAGATCTCTTATTATTGCATGGATTCTTTTACCACTGTATCCTTGTTGCTTTGAAATCTATTTTATCAAATGTGAGAATTGCAACTCCTGCTTTTTGTTTATTTATTTATTTTTGCTCTCCATTTGGTTGGTAAATTTTTCTTCAACCCTTTGTTTTGAGTCTTTGTGTATCTTTGGATATACCGTTAGGTTTTGGCTGTATCTTTTGATAGGGGGATTTAGTCGATTTAAATTTAGGATTGCTGCCATTTGATGTTAACTGGCTGTTTTATCCATTTGTTGAAGTAAATTCTTCTTTATGTTGATGCTCTTTACTTTTTGGTATATTTTTAGAAAGGCTCATACTGGTTGTTCCTTTCTATGTATAATGCTTCTTTCAGAAGTTCTTGTAAAGCAGGCCTGGTGGTAATAAAATCTCTGAGTACTTGCTTGTTCATAAAAGATTTTATTTTTCCTTCAGTTGTGAAGCTTAGTTTGGCAGGATATGAGATTCTAGGCTGAAAGTTCTGTTCTTTAAGTATGTCGAATATTGGCCCCCACTCTCTTCTGGCTTGTAGGGTTTTTACTGAGAGATATGCTGTAAGTCTAATACACTTCCCTTTATGGGTAACCTGGCCTTTCTCTCTGACTGCCCTTAGTATTTTCTCCTTCATTTCGATCCTGGTGAATCTACCGATTATGTGCCTTGGGGTTGCTCTTCTTGAGGAATATCTTTGTGGTGTTCTCTGTATTACCTGGGGTTGAATAGTGTCCTGCTTTGCTAGATTGGGAAAATTTTCCTGGATAATATCCTGAAAAGTATTTTCCAGCTTGGATTCATTCTCTCCATCACATTCAGGTACACCAATCAAACGTAGATTGGGTCTTTTCACATAGTCCCATATTTCTTGGAGACTTTGCTCATTCCTTGAGAGAGATCCAAGATGGCTGATTACTAACAGCTCAGGATTGTAGCCCAGTGAAAGCTCAGAGAAAGAGAGGACGCCACACTTTCTGACGAATTTTCATCACTCACAGACCAGCAGATTTCTAGTGGAGGAGCCCCAAGAGTCACCAGTGTGACTCTTGTGGCCGGCGCAGCAGTTTTGCTGGCGCCTTGGCGCGGCAGCTCTTCATGCAGAGTAAACGGGACTGGTTCCCTTACTGACCAGTGTTTGGAGCTCCGGGAAGGCAGAGCCGCTTGTTGCGGACTCAAGAAGGAAGCCAGACAAGAGATTCCCGGGCAGAAGAGCACCATCAGTCTTATCACTGCTATTTTGGCTGGCGCAGTGGGTTGCTTGAATCCCAGCACTGGGAATCAATAAATTGGACGTCGACTCAGAAACCTAATTAGAAAGGCGGTAATTGTAAAGATGACAGATGGATAAATTTATAATAAAGGGAAAAAACCAGCCTAAGAAGGCCGAGCATACTTAAAATTAGAACTCCTCTCCCTCTACAGGGGATTGCAGTTCCTCATCAGCAACAGAACAAGCCCTGATGGAAAAGGACTGTGTTCCATTATCTGAAGTAGGCTTCAGAAGGTGGATGATAAGAAACTTCTGGGAATTAAAAG